CATGAATAGTTGTAGAACTTCAATTCTCTAGATGGCATAGTTTCATAATCATTCAATATTCTATGAGTTTCAATTATGACAAATCAACTTATTATGAATATACATCTCGGTTTAGTCCTATTCATTATTCTAGTATCATGTAACTCAGTATGGTTCATTATTTCAGTATCATGTATTGCAGTATGATTCTCAGTTCCTGATTCTAAATTCCTAAATGTTGAACACCTGTATTTGGGCCTGAGGCTGCAGTTATATATACGTATACTTGGGCCCGAGGCCGCAGTTGTGCGCACGCACACACACACATACACACACACACATATATATATATATGTGTGTGTGTGTATATATATATATATATATATATATATATATATACACACACTATACACTTAGTATATACACTTAGTTAAAATGAATTAAAATCCTAAATTTATTTTTAAATTAAACTTAAAATAATTTATTTTTGCTTTATATATGGCGACNACGTTAGTTCGTCGTCGACGCGACACTACACACACAACACACACACACACACACACACACACACACACACACATATATATATATATATATATATATATATATATATATATTGGGCCTGAGGCTGCAGTTTAAAATTCAGATAAACTGGTTGTTCATCTCACTCGGAAGAGGAAGTATTCATATCCTTACTTCCTTTGTTCAGTTCAATTATCAGCTATCATTTCAGTTATTAGTTATTAGTTATCAGTTATTATCTCAGTTATCAGTTATCAGCTATCAGTTATCATTTCAGTTTCAGTTTCAACCGTTATAATTTCAGTTATCAACTATCAATTCTCAGTTATCAGCTCAGTATTAGTTTCAATATTTACAGTTCTTTCTTTCAGTTACTTTGCATATCAGTGCAATTCAAATGTACTGGCGTCCCTTTTGCCCGGGGCCTGCATCTCACGATGCAGGTAATGATTTACGGGTTGATGATTCAGAGCGCTAGGATTCTTGTACCAGCTATTTGGTGATCTCCAGTTCTTTCGAGGCATTATCATAGTCTTCAGTATTTTCAGACAGTCAGTGTTTTCAGTACTTCATTAGCGGCTTCATAGATTAGAGTAAAAGTTAGACAGAGTCACAAGCTTTTTGTGTTACGCAATGTTGGCTACAGACATATTTCAGACTTGTATTAGTGTTTCCAGACTTTAATTTTTATCATTCAGACTTTCAGTATATCAGCATGTATTAGTTTATCTTCTGCATTTAGTATGTTATGGTAACACATGTTGATTCAGCCAGCCAGTTGGTTCGCCCGGTCACATGTAGTCAGGCACCGAGTGTCGTGTTATGTCCAGGCCCAGGTTCGGGGCGTGACACAAGCATCACCTATTCATCAAGATTCTCGTCGAAATTATTCCCTACTTTCCACTAGATCCGAGAATAATTCGAACATTCAATGATTTGTCTGTCACTCATCATTGTCAGGAGGAAAGACCACCTAGTTCATCCTTATTGGCTGAATCACTCATCCTATTTACTTAAATGTCATTTATTGTCATTCATTATTGTTATTAAATGCTTCATTATTGCTCATATTATTTGGAATAGTTATTGCACACTATTATTACATCTCTACCAGATCTGTTAGACGCTAATCACACTTTCAAAAATCGTATCTAGAAATATTATTGTTAACTAGGTTTAACCCATTATCACATAAATTTAACTATTTAGAACCAAGAGTTATATTTTTTGGTTAAATAATTTAGCATCGTCTATGGGGATTTTCTAGTTAAATTTTTAGTTTCTTCTAGATCTACGACTAACATGGGTCACTAACTAAAAAAAACAAGAACAAGATCTCCTTTCTTAGTGTGCACAAATCCCAACATGGCAGGTAACCGAGAAGAAAGGACGAGAATAATAAGCGACCTCCCAACCACTCTCATGAACGTCGTCATCAACGAAAGTTGTGAAACAACAGACGAAGACGCAATAGCCCAATGCCTCCCCTAGACGAGATGGGTCACCTCCTCCTTACTGTATCATCACAAAATCTCTTGGTAAGGGAGCTTCCACATCTATGGCGGAGGAGATGCCCCCAGCTGTAAAAAATCTCCTTGAAGCATGGCTAACTGACACACTAACCAGCGTAAGCGTCCTCCAAAATATCAATTCAGCAATTGCCATTGCATTAATAGCATATCACGTACTCTTTGACAATTGAATTTACTAGATACTGAACGTTACTTAGCAATACGACAAGCGGCGGCTCGGAGAGTTTTTTTATCTAAAGTCGAACTTTATGAGGGGCCTTAACTTTTTTTTAAGGAAATTTATTTATTTATTTATTTATAGTTTATTTTATCTAGTGTTTCTTAGATACAAAGTTATTAATAATTATCTTATAACCAATAACTCCTAATAAGTCTTTCTTAATATTTAACCTATTTTGAGACATTGTTGATCTTAGGTAAGATTTTATTCAATTTTAATTTTAAAAACTTCTTTTCGTTGAAGCGACGGTAACAAGAGTTATTAACATTATTCCATAAGCAATATAGCGTTGGAAAAAGAATCAAATCTTTTTATTTGACGGAGTGTATCAATCAAACTGTTATCTTCTAATTATACTATTTTCCTTAATAATTTTAATTCCGAAAAGAAATCTAAACCACCAATATCGAATTGGTTATTATGCTTTAAGGAACATTCAAGGATTAAGGTAATATTTTTTCAAATTTTCATCATCTAGTGATCTTAATTTTTACCGATAAATAGAAAACCAATAATATTTTCATATGCTTCGAATTGTTCAAATTTTGAAATTACATATACAAATACTATAAACAATTTGTTATTGACAGTTTCTTTGAAAGCTTCCTGTGAGGACGATAGTGTTGTTTTAAAATTACTCTTAAGCAAGAAAGAGTGCATTTCCTCTTAGAGATCTATTTCTATTTTTAATCAATCAAAGTTTAGATTGATAATTTTAAGTAAGCCAATTAATTTTGATTTTATTGTTAGGACTTCATGACCGATTTCGCGAGACCATTTCGGCCTATGAGCAGCAAGATTGGACATGTAATTACACTTTCGTTATAGAGCTAATGAGACATTTCATATTGATTTCTTACAAGAAAAAATTGAAGGGATTGACACATAGTAACAATGACATGTTTTTGTTTCGGCCACCGACGAAATAGTAAGTTTTAAAAACAGTAAATTAAAATAATGCATAATCAGCCAACGTACATTATTAGCACGACAGAAGTACTCAGAATGTTTCTGTAACAAAACCAGAACAGAAGGGAAATGGACAACAATCTCATATATAACAATCAATTTGACTGTGGAAATAATAATAGAGTTGAGCATGCATGTGAGTGACTAGAGAGTGGGAAGGAGGTGGAAATTACAAGGCAAAGGGGAATCTCTGCTGCTGCAGTTCAGCAGCTGATCGTCTATTTCCTCATAGATACTTCTATTTCTAGACTAGATCAATTGTCAATATGCATGCATATGTTTTTTGTCAGTGTCACATGTCATTGTTTTCCACTCATTCAATCACTTCCTTTGCAATTTTATTATTTTATTAGTTATTTTTTTATTTTTTACTTCGGTATTCAGTACCACTTTGGGACGATTAATCTGGATTCGCATCGGGAAGTTCCACAATTGGGTAAAACACGATCTACTAAAGACATTAATCTATACCCAAGAGTGGAACTTTTAAACATTTAATTAAGAACGGAGAAGTACTTATCAGTTAACCATATCCTTTGATAGTTTTTATTATTTTATTAGTACGACGATATATATTACTATATATGTGCACTTCCTAGTATTCTCTAATTTTAAAAGAGCTTTTTGGCAAAAGGGTATGGCCAAAGACTGTAACCAATACAATTGAGAATGTCTGTTGAATTTGCCCCTTTATATTTTTATTTCCATAGGAATGTAAAACAATAACAACCCAGTAAATTTTACAAGTGTGATTTGGGAAGGGTAGATCCTTGGTACAAAAAGATAAAACGAAACAGCGTAGCAGTAACAACAAATATACTTCCATAGGAAAGTAATGAATAAAATTTCTTTTGGATATTTCATTTGTTTTGTAGATTGCTTCATCTTCAATTGTTTAGTCTAAGCGATTTATTAGGCAGATTAGTTTTTTTATTTTTTTTCCCCTAAAGCATGTGATTTGCCTTTCATGGATCTTGTGGTTTTTCATTATGAATCAAGGCATAATGATTTAGTACTCTGATTAGATAGCTTTGTTGAATTCAATCATTTCATTCAAAAAGAAAGACACATTTTAGAATGTTATACATCATTCATGTGGATAATCTAGACTTTTCTTCTTGATTACATATTACTCATAACTCATATACATCCACAACAATGTATCACCTTATACCTTTTTTCAAGTGAAAAATTATTTTCTAAGGATCCAATGAAACTTTTCGTCGCACTTTTGAGTGTTAACTCTTGCTACATTAGCTAGAATTGGACCTACCCAAACGGTACTTTTCCCACCAACTAGTTTTTTTTTTTTAAATGTTGAGGAGCACAAAACCATTTGCCTTTGTTAGTGCCTTTCATCATTGGAAAGACAGTGCTAATGACTTAAGAACACTTGACTAAAAAAAGGCAGTGCAGTGCACTAAACTCCCGTTATGTATGGGATCCCGAGAAGGGCCGGACTACGATAGTATATTGTACGCAGTCTTACCCTGTTTTCCACGACTTGAACATTTGACTTATCCTTTAAAATAATGTACCCCTCAAACAATCGCACACAACTTGCTTGTTGGCATTTGCATATATTGTCACTGCTTTAACAAGTTACTCCTCGTGCTTATATATGATATGATGCGTTTTTTCTTCTTAAAAAAAAATTACACCTTTTGTATATTTGGAAATACTCTTATTAATGGCATGCTCATATAGTAATTAGAATATCATTTATTTTTAAAATCACAAGCGGAGAAAGTATTAGAAATGAAATTGAACCCAAGAAATTTATGCACGAAAGAACCAAAAATATAGCAACATATACTAGTCGTAAGCTGATGTCAACACAATTACAAAAAGGAAGCAACTAGAACAAAGTCATTGCTCTCCTCGACCAACACCAACTAATGAGATAAAAATTACAAAAAAAAAAATGAATAGTCTGAATTGAAAGGAGCTACAATAAATAAGAGCTGCTGCTATCCTTAAACAACTAAGGGTCATCAAAATTCAGTCTATCTCCTCTCCTTCTCAATCTTCAGTGGGTAATTCACAGTTTCCATACTCTGCCAAAATAAAACAACAAAAGAGAAAAAAAATGTTACCCTAGATATAAATATAAACAAATAAATAAAAAGAAAAGGATAGAAGATTAACTTGAGTGGGCGTAATGTGCAAATACGACCAGTAACTTTCAAGTACCCATAAAAGAATATATGGTCTAGAAAAAGAAATGCTTTACTCTCAGCTTTAAAGTACCAAAGGTAAATCTTTATCAATTATTGATAATAAATACTGGTGTCATTTTGACCATCCACGAATATCCATTGAATCGACATGGTTAAAAATGAAGTAGAAATGCCTAATGCTTCTATATATCTTTGAAAAATAAAGTGGTAATAAATATTAACCACACTACTTATCCACTATAGTTAAGTGATAAATGAAGATAAAAATGCATATATTAACTACTCCACTATTTAGTGATAACAATAAATATAAAGACATAATTTAACGGATAGACTTTTCGGGTGAAAAAATAAAATTAGTCGGTCAATCTAAACTAGTTACATTTGAGAGCTTAAAAGTGCATAAAATATACTTTCTCAGTTTCAATTTATGTGAATTTTTTTTTTTAGTTCTTATCAAAAGAATGACGACTGTCCTTATTTAGAAACAATTTACTTTTATACAGTGATTTATAGTCACACAAAATATATGTGTCTTATTTTATACTAAAAATTTAAAAGTTTTTTCTTTTTTCATAAACTCCGTATTATGTCAAATAGATTCACATAAATTAAAATGGAGTAGTATAATATTATACTACGTAAAAAACTATTTATTTTATTTTTATCGGCTATTTTTTTTTTTTCGACTAAAAATAAACGTCTCCGTCTATCACGTGCTGTCCCCAAACCTGCCTGGATTGCACCATCTTTCCAGACTTTGTGGACCCTATGGCAACAAATTTTTGATATGTGCGGCCCTTATTTAGTTACCAGAACACGTTAGCAAAATCATCCAAACCAACCACTTAAAGTGCGCCACACATTAAATTTTACCATAAACACGAAAATTATACCTCGAACCATAAGTCAAACATGTCACAGTAATCAAGAATGGAAAACCCAAATTCCAATAAAATTATAATAATGTAAATGATACGCTACTTACTAGGTTGTTGATGAACAATGTAAGCGGCCCCACCAAAATAACAGGAACCCATCGCACGGCCTTTCTTCTGATAATAATTGTTGAAAGCGTATGATGCATGAGCTTCCAGCGTGTTAGGATTGTAACACGTGGACCCTGGCTGAATCGAACGGCAATCAGCTCCACCCTCACCACAAGCGAAATCTAGAGCTGCTTGTAGATTATCCTTCCCCGCTTCACCACTCGCCACACACCACGTTTGCCCCTGCACACCCGTCGACACATTCCCCTTCCCGCCTTTCTGCATTCTCTCGCCGCCGGCAACCGGTGACTGCCGGTCAATATAATGTTTCAGTCCCTCCATATTTAACGGTATGTCATAAACTTTTCGCTCATTCGGGTAGAATAACCCGAAATTTCGCTCCGATGTGGGACCCGGCTTTTTGTTCTCGTTGAAAAGTGCAAAGAGGAAGACTGTGATGTCTTCTTTAGGCCTTAAAGGAGTCCCACCACCGGTGAGGATTCGCCGGACAAGGTTGCCGTTGTACGCGGCAGCATTGTCCACGCTGGCACCGACTTCAATGTCGTCTCCTTTAGACGGCCAGCCAGTTTCCGTTACGACCATTTTGATATCATCGTACTTCAAAGCAGATAACGCAGCGAAAACGGCGTCAACTTGAGCGTCAAAGAGGCTGAAGTAACGGAGTCCGTTACCGGCGTCAACAACACCGGGATTTTCCCGGAACAAAGCGTAGTCAAGTGGAATGACGTCGGAGTTTGACTCGTATGCAAAAAACGGGTAACAGTTAACCATAAGGAAGGATCCAGTTTGGCGGAGAAAATCCAACATGGGTTTAATTACGGGTTCGATCAATTCGGATCTAAAAGACCCGGCAGAAGACGGGTAAGAGTTCTGCAATGCACTAAGAGCAACAGGAGAAGAGACTTTGATTTTGTCATGGAAATTGTACTTCAAAAGAGCCTCATGAATATTCTTCATAGCGGGTACAAGAAAACGGGTCGTGTTATGCGGGTCAACGAAAACTTCATTTCCAACGGCAATGGATTCGATTTGAGTAGAAGGGTAGTAAGCAGCAACATTACGCTGGACCCAAGAGTAAGCAAATGACTGGCGTTTAGCGGCATTATAGAGTAGCTCGTTGGGTAGGTTAACGGTAACCTTAATACCCGACCCGGAAAGCGCTTTGAGTACAGCCGGGTCAGTATCATAGACTTTAACACGTTCTACGCCTTGAGATTTCAGAAGGGCTACAGCTTTTACTGCTGATGGTAAGTTGTTAGCTACACGACCATAGTTCACTCCAATTGAACCACCATCTGCAAATACACCAAAAAAAAAAAATTAGTTCAATAATCAAAATACAGACTTTAAGTTAGTGGAGAAAATGAGTGTTACCTGCAATGGAGAAAAGGGAAAGGGAAAAGAGTAAGAGGAGAAGACAAATGGTGAGTTTTTCCATGCTCTATTGTATGATGAAAAAACAGAGCATGAAAGTGTGTGTTGCTTTAAAAGGGGCTGCTAATGGAGGAGAATAATGTAGAGCAAGAAATTAGGGGGAGTATGTATAGTGGAGAGTGATGGGGTTGAGGGGATCGAGGGGATAGGGTGGGGGGGGGGGGGGGGTGAGAGTCTACTTTGTACTCACTTTAAAATAAGCAAGTCCGATGCACGAAACATCTCGTAGTTTATCCCGATACAAGCATCAGTGTTGATTCTTCGATTCAAACATGTAATATATGTGTCACACGTAAACAACTTCATCGTTCCTCCAAAGTTTCCCTTCTTTCGTATATGTTGCATTTAGAATTTATGTGATACTCCATCCATTCCAATTTATATGAACCTGTTTGACTGAGCATGCAGTTTAAGAAAAAATGAAGACTTTTAAAATGTGTAACCCTAAACAAGTCAAAAGGTATCCAGAGTATTTGTCTGGTTATAAAATGTTCTCATTAATGGTAGAATTATAAGTTTAAGCTAAATTGTTTCCAAATTTAAAAATGGGTCATCCTTTTTGAAACAGACCAAAAAGGAAATAGGTTCACATAAACTGAAACTGAGGGAGTACAATTTAGTTGAGAGTTAAATTATCTTGGAGTAATTGTTACTTACAAATATCTAATTCAAATATAAAATTTTTAAGTTTTTAAAATTAAATTTATATATTTAAAAATTATATAAAAAACACTATAAGCAATAATAGTTAACAACTTAAATTGTTAAAAATACATATAAAGATTACAATGGGAAAAAAAAGTTCTTTTTAACTTTTCAAATAATGTTGAAAACAAAAACTCTTCAAATAATAACTGTATTAGATGGGACAGGAGAGTAAGAAGAAGCCAATGGAGTAGAAGAAGCACAGCACGTGGCCCCCACTATATTCCAGGACCCCACCTTAATCGACCGTTTCTAAAAATGGGAGTCAGGTAGTGATGTGTCTGTTGAATCGTTGATACGAAGATCTACTGCTTTCACCTAAAAGGCTAAAATGTGTTTATTGTGTACCGTTTGAGGAAATTACTGTAGTTGATTGATGATTATTGCATTTGACTACTAGCACTTTTAGAAGAGATTTGCATTTGATGAGCCTATTACGCTTTGTTATTCTTTTTTGTTTTTTCGAGGTCATTAAATTAGTATACAATTAAGCACCTAATAACGTCGCCTGCGTATAATAAAATGATGCAATCTTGAAGATCAGAAACACAAATCTCATCAAAGACAACAACACATACTCCCTCCTGTCCATTTTAATGGATTTTTTTGGTTATTTTTACACATATTAAGAGCCCGTTTGGCCATAAAAATTTTTATTTTTTTCGAAATAAGTGTTTGGCCATAAAATTTCTAATTTACCCGTTTGGCCATATATTTTGCCAAAATAAATTTGGATTTTATTTGGCAAACACATGTTTGATCATAGATTTTGCCTATATTTTGGCAAAATCCCAAATCTCAAATCCCAAATCCCAAAACCAGCTCAATAGCTGGTTTTTGGGCCAAAATATTTACAAACACTAAGCTAGAGTTTGGCCATAGATTCCAAATTTGTTTTGAAAAATTTAATTTGTGTGAAGTTTGGTTTGAAGATGAAAATGTGTTTGGACATACGTTTTCAAAATATATTTTCCAACTTTATTTTGGAAAAATATGTATATAATTCCCAAGTTTTGGAATTTTGGTCCAAAATCAGCAATTGGGGTGATTTTGGGATTTGGGGTTTGGGATTTGAGATTTTTCCAAAATATGGGTAAAATTTATGGCCAAACATGAGTTTTGAAAATAAATCCCAAATTTATTTTGGCAAAACTCATGGCCAAACAGGACCAATAATATACATGTTTTTCCAAAACAAATTTGGTAAATATGTTTTGATAATGCATGTCCAAACACATTTTCATCTTCAAACTAAACTTCACCCAAATCAGATTTTTCAAAACAAATTTAGGAATCTATGGCCAAACGCTAGCTTAAAAACTCAAAAAAGCTGGTTTTAAAAGTTTTCACAAAAATTCAAAAATAACCCATGTCATGGTAAAAGTAATATATACTCAATAAAATAATCGAATTGTGTTCATACTAATCCGAACACCACTGTCATAATGTTGTTTAAAATTAACCGGGATTGTGTGAGATACTTAAAGAATGAGTCTAAATGTCACGACCCCAAAACCAACCCGGTCGTGATGGCGCCTATCATGGAACTAGGCCAGTGGACACATTCCCAAAATAGTTCAACATTTCATTAAAACTTAAATAATAACATTTTTCAACTGAAATTGCTATAAAAGATATAAAGTCAAAACCAAAATGCTGAAATAAAAGCCCGACCCCGGGTGTCACTAAGTCATGGGCAATACTACAATTGTTCCGAAATATAACAAGACCAAAATACTCTGAAAGTAGCCAAAGTATACTAGAAGGAAGATAAAGAAGGAGAAAGGCGGGACTGCGATCGCCAGGCAGCTGCCTCGCTATCTCCGGTGATAATCCGCGACTGGAATAGTCTACAGCCGCTACCGTGACCTGAGATACCTGGATCTGCACACAAGGTGCAGGGGGTAACGTGAGCACACCAACTCAGTAAGTAACAAGTCAAAACTATGGATTGATAGGTAGTGACGAACTAAACCTCAGCAATTATAACACGATTAAACTGTACAGTAAAGTAGGCATGCTGGCAATTCAATTATTCCACTCAACAGTAAAGTAAATACCAATCCGAACAATGTGAAGTATAAAGCTCACCAAAACTCTACACGTCAATGTCAGAAATGCATGAAATGCACCGTATGCTCCCACTCTCAAGTGCTCAACCCCTCGATACCGGGTATGACCTTCCGGCCTAGGAAAATCCATCCCGAAACATATACAACACTGACTGCAAGTCAACCAGTACCAAGGAAAACAAGGGTAATCCAACCCTGAGGAGAAATCTATATATATA